CTGTTCAGCTCCTCACATACCTCCTGATCATTTCTTGTGAGTTCTCCACCTTCTGTCCTTAATCTGATCACCTGGTCTTTGACTGTTGTCTTCCTCCTGATGTGGCTATACAACAGTTTCGGGTCAGTCTTGATTCTCGATGCTATGTCATTTTCATACTGTCGCTGGGCCTCCCTCCTTACCTGTGCGTACTCATTCCTGACTCTGCGACTGATCTCCCTATTTTCGTGTGTTCTCTGCCTTCTGTACTTTTTCCATTCTCTATTGCACTTTGTTTATGCCTCCTTACACCATCGGGTAAACCAGGGGCTCGCTCTGGTCTTCCCGTTGTTACTGTTGCCCTTGTGTGTACTCACCTAGTTGTACTCACCTAGTTGAGGTTGCAGGGGTCGAGTCCAAGCTCCTGGCCCCGCCTCTTCACTGGTCGCTACTAGGTCACTCTCCCTGAACCATGAGCTTTATCATACCTCTGCTTAAAGCTATGTATGGATCCTGACTCCACTACATCGCTTCCCAAACTATTCCACTTACTGACTACTCTGTGGCTGAAGAAATACTTCCTAACATCCCTGTGATTCATCTGTGTCTTCAGCTTCCAACTTTGTCCCCTTGTTACTGTGTCCAATCTCTGGAACATCCTGTCTTTGTCCACCTTGTCAATTCCTCTCATTATTTTGTAAGTCGTTATCATGTCCCCCCTATCTCTCCTGTCCTCCAGTGTCGTCAGGTTGATTTCCCTTAACCTCTCCTGGTAGGACATACCTCTTAGCTCTGGGACTAGTCTTGTTGCAAACCTTTGCACTTTCTCTAGTTTCTTTACATGCTTGGCTAGGTGTGGGTTCCAAACTGGTGCCGCATACTCCAATATGGGCCTAACGTACACGGTGTATAGGGTCCTGAACGATTCCTTATTAAGATGTCGGAATGCTGTTCTGAGGTTTGCTAGGCGCCCATATGCTGCAGCAGTTATTTGGTTGATGTGCGCTTCAGGAGATGTGCCTGGTGTTATACTCACCCCAAGATCTTTTTCCTTGAGTGATGTTTGTAGTCTCTGACCCCCTAGACTGTACTCCATCTGCGGTCTTCTTTGCCCTTCCCCAATCCTCATGACTTTGCACTTGGTGGGATTGAACTCCAGGAGCCAGTTGCTGGACCAGGTCTGCAGCCTGTCCAGATCCCTTTGTATTTCTGCCTGGTCTTCGATCGAATGAATTCTTCTCATCAACTTCACGTCATCTGCAAACAGTGACACCTCGGAGTTTATTCCTTCCGTCATGTCGTTCACAAATACCAGAAACAGCACTGGTCCTAGGACTGACCCCTGTGGGACCCCGCTGGTCACAGGTGCCCACTCTGACACCTCGCCTCGTACCATTACTCTCTGCTGTCTTCCTGACAAGTATTCCCTGATCCATTGCAGTGCCTTCCCTGTTATTCCTGCTTGGTCCTCCAGTTTTTGCACTAATCTCTTGTGTGGTACTGTGTCAAACGCCTTCTTGCAGTCTAAGAAAATGCAATCCACCCACCCCTCTCTCTCTTCTCTTACTGCTGTCACCATGTCATAGAACTCCAGTAGGTTTGTGACACAGGATTTCCCGTGTGTGTGTGTGTGTGTGTGTGGTTGTGTGTGTGTGTGTGTGTGTGTGTGTGTGTGTGTGTGTGTGTGTGTGTGTACTCACCTATTTGTGGTTGCAGGGGTCGATTCACAGCTCCTGGCCCCGCCTCTTCGCTGATTGCTACTAGGTCCTCTCTCTCCCTGCCCCATGAGCTCTATCATACCTCGCCTTAAAACTATGTATGGTTCCTGCCTCCACTACATCCCTTTCTAGGCTATTCCATGGCCTGACTACTCTATGACTGAAGAAATACTTCCTAACATCCCTTTGATTTATCTGAGTCTTCAACTTCCAATTGTGACCTCTTGTGTCTGTGTCCCTTCTCTGGAACATCCCGTCTTTGTCCACCTTGTCTATTCCGCGCAGTATTTTATGTCGTTATCATGTCTCCCCTGACCCTCCTGTCCTCCAGTGTCGTCAGGCCAATTTCCCTCAACCTTTCTTCGTAGGACAATCCCCGTAGCTCTGGGACTAGTCTTGTTGCAAACCTTTGCACTTTCTCTAATTTCTTGATGTGCTTGACTAGGTGTGGATTCCAGACTGGTGCTGCATACTCCAGTATGGGCCTGACGTAAATGGTATAAAGAGTCTTGAACGAATCCTTACTGAGGTATCGGAACGCTATCCGTAGGTTTGCCAGGCGCCCGTATGCTGCAGCAGTTATCTGATTGATGTGCGCCTCAGGAGATATGCTCGGTGTTATACTCACCCCCAGATCTTTTTCCTTGAGTGAGGTTTGCAGTCTTTGGAAGGAGTTCCCGGGGTCAACGCCCCCTGGGCCCGGTCCATGACCAGACCTCATGGTGGATCAGGCTATTACTGCTGGCCGCACGTAAACCGACGTAGGAACCACAGCCCGGCTGGTCAGGTGCTGACTTTAGGTGTCTGTCCAGCGCCTTCTTGAAGACAGCCAGGGGTCTTGAAGACAGCCAGGGGTCTTGAAGACAGCCAGGGGTCTTGAAGACAGCCAGGGGTCTTGAAGACAGCCAAGGATCTTGAAGACAGCCAAGGGTCTTGAAGACAGCCTGGGGTCTTGAAGACAGCCAGGGGTCTTGAAGACAGCCAGGGGTCTTGGAGAAAGCCAGGGGTCTTGAAGACAGCCAGGGGTCTTGAAGACAGCCAGGGGTCTTGAAGACAGCCAGGGGTCCTGGAGACAATCAGGGGTCTTCAAGACAGCCAGGAATCTTGAAGACAGCCAGGGATCTTGAAGACAATCAGGGGTCTTGAAGACAGCCAGGGGTCTTGAAGACAGCCAGGGGTCCTGAAGACAGCCAGGGGTCTTGGAGACAGCCAGGGGTCTTGAAGACAGTCAGGAATCTTGAAGACAGCCAGGGATCTTGAAGACAATCAGGGGTCTTGAAGACAGTCAGGAATCTTGAAGACAGCCAGGGATCTTGAAGACAATCAGGGGTCTTGAAGACAGCCAGGGGTCTTGAAGACAGCCAGGGGTCCTGAAGACAGCCAGGGGTCTTGGAGACAGCCAGGGGTCTTGAAGACAGTCAGGAATCTTGAAGACAGCCAGGGATCTTGAAGACAATCAGGGGTCTTGAAGACAGTCAGGAATCTTGAAGACAGCCAGGGATCTTGAAGACAATCAGGGGTCTTGAAGACAGCCAGGGGTCTTGGAGAAAGCCAGGGGTCTTGAAGACAGCCAGGGGTCTTGAAGATAGCCAGGGGTCTTGAAGACAGCCAGGGGTCTTGAAGATAGCCAGGGGTCTTGAAGACAGCCAGGGGTCTTGAAGACAGCCAGGGGTCTTGAAGACAGCCAGGGGTCTTGAAGACAGCCAAGGATCTTGAAGACAGCCAAGGGTCTTGAAGACAGCCTGGGGTCTTGAAGACAGCCAGGGGTCTTGAAGACAGCCAGGGGTCTTGGAGAAAGCCAGGGGTCTTGAAGACAGCCAGGGGTCTTGAAGACAGCCAGGGGTCTTGAAGACAGCCAGGGGTCCTGGAGACAATCAGGGGTCTTCAAGACAGCCAGGAATCTTGAAGACAGCCAGGGATCTTGAAGACAATCAGGGGTCTTGAAGACAGCCAGGGGTCTTGAAGACAGCCAGGGGTCCTGAAGACAGCCAGGGGTCTTGGAGACAGCCAGGGGTCTTGAAGACAGTCAGGAATCTTGAAGACAGCCAGGGATCTTGAAGACAATCAGGGGTCTTGAAGACAGTCAGGAATCTTGAAGACAGCCAGGGATCTTGAAGACAATCAGGGGTCTTGAAGACAGCCAGGGGTCTTGGAGAAAGCCAGGGGTCTTGAAGACAGCCAGGGGTCTTGAAGATAGCCAGGGGTCTTGAAGACAGCCAGGGGTCTTGAAGATAGCCAGGGGTCTTGAAGACAGCCAGGGGTCTTGAAGACAGCCAGGGGACGTGTAGACAGCCGGGAGTTTATTGGTAATCCTCCTTATGTGTGCTGAGAGACAGTTGAACAGTCTCGGGCCCCGGACACTTATTGTGTTGTCTCAGTGCACTCGTGACGCCCCTGCTTTTCATCGGGGGAATGTTGCATCTCCTGCCGAGTTTTTTTGCTTTCATAGGGAGTGATTTCCGGGTGTAGGTTCGAAATTAGTCCCTCTTAACCAGGGACTTCCAGCCCCTTCAAAATTAAGATTCAGAAACTGTCTCACATATTCCTGTTATACAGACTCCTGGCAGTCTTCAAGCTGGCACTGGACAAGCACCTAAAGTCAGTTCCGGATCAGCCGGGCTGTGGCTCGTACGTTGGTTTGCGTGCAGCCAGCAGCAACAGCCTGGTTGATCAGGCTCTGATCCACCAGGAGGCCTGGTCTCAGACCGGGCCGCGGGGGCGTTGACCCCCGGAACTCTCTCCAGGTAAACTCCAGGTATATACACAAAATCTGCAGCTGCATGACGAATATTGAGGTTGAGTCACAGCTCCTGGCCCCGCCTCTACACTGGTAGTATTAGTTCAAAGGCTCTTGATGCGAGGATTTAGAGCTAATGTCTCCTTCCTCGGATCAAGCTTAATTACATCCTCTTCCCCATTGAAAGAACGGTAACTAAGAGTTACGTTATAAATTATAATAATCAATAATAATAATCAATAATAATAATAATCAATAATAATAATAATAATAATAATAATAATAATAATAATAATTATAATCCACTCATTTCAAAATTCTTAAAATATCTAAACTTTTCGAATAATATCTGGAATACACTAGGCCTAAATATCTGGGTTAACTAGGCCTAAATGCGTAATGTAACTTACAACGTCTATATGGCACTAAATGGCACCAGTGCCACTTTTGAAAAACGTATATTGAAAGCGTATTTAGGCACACGTACACAAATTATAATTATCATATATAATAAAGTTTGTAAATTACTCACAGGTCTTGTAAATTATATTGTAAATTAAATTTACCTGGGAGATGGGTTAGAGGCGAAGATGATTGGTGTTTTTCTTCTCAGGGTATATTGTATGTGGTGTGTCACTGGGCACTGGTAAGGTAACACTGTAACACAGGTAACACTGTAACACTGTTGTCCAGGGTGGTGGTGAGAGGTGGTGTTGGTGTGGTGAAGGTTGGACACTGTGTGAGGGAGAGACTGGCAGAGTTGCTAGCTAGACTCTTTACACACGCACACACACACACACACACACACACACAGGCTCCAACATGCAGTTTGTTGTGGTAGTGGGTCGCATGCTCACACACACACACACACACACACACACACACACGTAGAGAGAGAGAGGACCTAGTAGCGATCAGTGAAGAGGTGGGGCTAGGAGCTGAGTCTCGACTCCTGCAACCACAATTAGGTGAGTACAGTTAGGTGAGTATACACACATACACAGAGGAGGAGCTGTGACTCGACCCCTGCAACCACAACTAGATGAGTACACACACACACACAACATCTCTCCTTGGGTCCTGAGAGAGAGCAGATGCAGCGTGTGTGCCACTAATAACAATCGGGGCCAGGAGCTATGAATCGACCCCTGCAAACACAATTAGGTGAGTACACACACACACACATGCACAACATCTCTCCTTGGGTCCTGAGAGAGGGAGCAGACACGCTGTGTACCTCTAACAGTCTTCAATAAACCCACTGAAACAGGGCGATTACCTGAAGTGTGGAAGACAGTAAATGTAGTCGCAGTTTTTAAGAAAGGAGACAGACAGGTAGCACTAAACAACAGATCAGTGTCACTGACATGTATAATATGCAAAGTTATGGAGAAAGTTATCTGGAGAAGAGTGGTGGAGCACTTAGAAAGGAACGGGCTTATACACGATAACCAGCACGGTATCAGGGAAGGGAAATCCTGCATCACAAACGTACTGGAGTTCTACGATAAGGTAACAGAAGTAAGACAGGAGAGAGAGAGGGGATGATGTGTAGACTGCATCTTCTTGGACTGTAAGAAGGATTTCGACACAATACCACACAAGAGACTGGTTGAAAAACTGAAGGAGCAGACAGAAATAGCAAGGAAAGGCCTGCAGTGGATCACAGAATACCTGAAAGGAAACAAAGTGTGTTGGTACGTGACAAGGTGTTGGAGTGGGTGCAAGTGTTGAGTGGGGTTCCACAAGGGTCAGTCATAGGTCCGGTGCAGTTTCTATTATATGTGAATGACATGACGGAAGGGATAGATTCAGAGGTGTCACTGTTCGTAGGCTGCAAGCCAGGTCTGACAAATGACTCCTGGAGTTTAACTCCCAGCAAGTGCAAAGTTACGAAGTTTGGGGAAGGACAAAGAAAACCAAATTAAACCTAGAAGTTTAAAAACTACAAAACTCACACAAGGAAAAAGATCTTGGGGTGAGTATAACACCGAGCACATCTCCTGAGCCGCATATCAACCAGATAACTGCTGCATCACATGGGCGCCTAGCATACCTAAGAATAGCGTTCCGACTCGAAGACACTGTAAACCGTGCACGTCAGGCCTATACTGGAGTATTCAGCACCAGTATGGAACCCACACCTGGTGGGTTCCATACTGGTGCAAAGGTTAGCACCATGACTAGTCCTGGAGCTAAGAGGAATGTTCTAGGAGGAGAGGTTAAGTGAAATCGATCTGACAACTCTGGAGGACAGGAAGGAAACGGGGGACATGATAACGACATACGAAATACTAAGAAATAGACAAGGTGGACAGAGAAATGATGTTCCAGAGATGGGACACAGCAACAAGGGGACACAACTGGAAGTTGAAAACTCAGATGAATCACAGGGATGTTAGGAAGTATTTCTTCAGTCATAGAGTTGTCAGGAAGTGGAACAATCTGGAGAGTGATGTAGTGGAGGCAGGATCCATACACAGAGAGAGGACCTAGTAGCGATCAGTGAATGGCGGTTCCAGGAGCTATGTATCAACCCCTGCAACCACAAATAGGTGAATACACACACACACACACCTCAGAGACCTAAACAATAAAGAGCACTGGTTCATATGCTACAAACTTCACCCAAGGAGAAGGACCTGGAGGTAAACATAACACCAAACATATCACCAGAGGTAAACATAACACAATAATTGAACTTACAACACAGGAGACGAGCACCATCCTTACTAATAATATATTATTCAGGAACATTGTAAACTTAAGAATGACTGCCACGTTAGTAAAGACTAATTTAGAAGTTATTAAATAAGTAACCGTGTGAGGAAAGTGTTTGTGTACCCTGGTGAACACAGTACCACCAGCACCTTGTATATTGTGTGTGTCAGACCTATCATCGAGTATCCAGCACCAGCATACAACCTTAACCTCACGTGACACAAACCCAATAGATTATGTGAGGTATAGAAGAGTATGCGAAGTGTTCAGGTGAAGTGTTCAGGTGTAGTGTTCAGGTGAAGTGTTCAGGTGAAGTGTTCAGGTGAAGTGTTCAGGTGAAGTGTTCAGGTGAAGTGTTCAGGTGAAGTGTTCAGGTGAAGTGTTCACGTGAAGTGTTCAGGTGAAGTGTTCAGGTGAAGTGTTCAGGTGAAGTGTTCAGGTGAAGTGTTCAGGTGAAGTGTTCACGTGAAGTGTTCAGGTGAAGTGTTCAGGTGAAGTGTTCAGGTGAAATGTTCACGTGAAGTTTTCAGGTGAAGTGTTCAGGTGAAGTGTTCAGGTGTAGTGTTCAGGTGAAGTGTTCAGGTGAAGTGTTCAGGTGAAGTGTTCACGTGAAGTGTTCAGGTGAAGTGTTCAGGTGAAGTGTTCAGGTGAAGTGTTCAGGTGAAGTGTTCAGGTGAAGTGTTCAGGTGAAGTGTTCAGGTGAAGTGTTCACATGAAGTGTTCAGGTGAAGTGTTCAGGTGAAGTGTTCAGGTGAAGTGTTCACATGAAGTGTTCACATGAAGTGTTCACATGAAGTGTTCAGGTGAAGTGTTCACATGAAGTGTTCAGGTGAAGTGTTCACATGAAGTGTTCAGGTGAAGTGTTCACATGAAGTGTTCAGGTGAAGTGTCACATGAAGTGTTCAGGTGAAGTGTTCACATGAAGTGTTCAGGTGAAGTGTTCACATGAAGTGTACAAAGAACATCACGAGTCAACACGGACAAAAATCTCGCTACATTTGCAGATAACACCGGAACACTGGCACCTTAAGTGCTGTACACCTGTGAGGGGAGGGAGGGGGTAGGAAGGGGGAGGAAGGGGGTAGGAAGGGGGAGGGAAGGGGGTAGGAAGGGGGAGGAAGGGGTGTCAGGGGGAGGAAGGGGTGTCAGGGGGAGGAAGGGGTGTCAGGGGGAGGAAGGGGTGTCAGGGGGAGGAAGGGGTGTCAGGGGGAGGAAGGGGTGTCAGGGGGAGGAAGGGGTGTCAGGGGGTAGGAAGGGGTGTCAGGGGGAGGAAGGGGTGTCAGGGGGAGGAAGGGGTGTCAGGGGGAGGAAGGGGTGTCAGGGGGAGGAAGGGGTGTCAGGGGGAGGAAGGGGTGTCAGGGGGAGGAAGGGGAGCCACTCCCTGGATATCCTTGCTTCAACACGCTGCTGGTGCCACCCACCTGACGTCACTGTGTCTACACCACCTGACGTCATGTGTATACGGGGACGAGGGCGCGTTCACACACACACACACACACACACACACACACACACTCACACACACACACACACACACACACACACATACATAGATTTAAGAAGAGGTATGATAAACCTCATGGAGCAGGAAGAGTGACCCAGTAGCGACCAGTGAAGAGGCGGGGCCAGGAGCTATGACTCGACTACTGCAACCACAGTTAGGTGAGTACACACACACACACTCATACACACGCACACACACACATACATAGATTTAAGAAGAGGTATGATAAACCTCATGGAGCAGGAAGAGTGACCCAGTAGCGACAAGTGAAGAAGCGGGGCCAGGAGCTGTGAATCGACCCCTGCAACCACAACTAGGTGAGTACATTCATAGAGGAAGTGTGGAGCATGGAGAGAGTGGACCTAGTAGCCACTAGCGAAGAGGCGAGGCCAGGAGCTGTGAATCAACAAAAGCTGGAGGAGCAGGCAAGAATAACAGGAAAGGCACTGCAATGGATCAGAGAATACCTGACAGGGAGGCAACAGTGAGTCATGGCACGTGGCGAGGTATCACAGTGGGCACCTGTGACGAGCGGGGTCCCACACGGGTTAGTCCTAGGACCAGTGCTATTTCTGGTATATGTGAATGACATGACGGAAGGGATAGACTCAGAAGTGTCCTTGTTTGTAGATGATGTGAAGTTAATGAGAATTAAATCAGATAAGGATCAGACAGGTCTACAAAGAGACCTGGACAGGCTGGACGCGTGGTCCAGCAACTGGCTCCTGGAGTTCAACCCCACCAAGTGCAAAGTCATGAAGATTTGAGAAGGGTAAAGAAGACCTCAGACGGAGTACAGTCTAAGGGGTCAAAGACTGCAAACCTCACCCAAGGAAAAGGATCTTGGGTGAGTATAACACCGCCAACAACATCATTATTATAACCACAATGATTAGATTTAGATTTTGCCACAGAAGCGGCAAAATCTAAATCTAATCATCAACCAGACAACTGTTGTAGTATACGGGCGCCTGGCAAACCTAAGACTAGCGTTCCGATACCTCAGTAAGGAATCGTTCAAGACTCTGTACACCGTGTACGTCAGGCACTGTACACCGTGTACGTCAGGCACTGTACACCGTGTACGTCAGGCACTGTACACCGTGTACGTCAGGCACTGTACACCGTGTACGTCAGGCACTGTACACCGTGTACGTCAGGAACTGTACATCGTGTACATCAGGCACTGTACACGGACGGTGTACATCAGGCATTGTACACCGTGTAGATTTTTACAGATGAATCTCCTGAGTCATCTGTAAAAACCTTAATTTGTGGTCACAGTGGTGGCCCATGTTAACCTCCCTACAGTGTATAAATATGCGTAGTTGGATGACTGTTATTGTAGCCAGCTTGTCCAGTGGTTTACGCACTGTCATGCAGTTTTACGGCCCACTCGCCATGGGTTCAAATCCCACCCGTTCCCTGGTTTGATGGTGATTGTGACGAGAATAATTTGTTACGTACACACAAACTTGATCAGTCAAAACAATAATATGGTTCTGAGATG